TTACGTATATCTTTATCTAGATACAATTTTATTTATACGAGAATCTACATAGATGTCACCAGGCATTCTAAAAATAATTTTAAAAAAGGCTTGGTAGTAAATAGTCTTTCCTTGCAAACATTTAACACGTATTTCCGGAAGCGTAAGTGTCCCGAAATGAAATTAATTGGAGACAAATTCAATTTCCTCTGTTTCGGGGAAGTTGTCGAGGAGTGGAAGTAATTCAAAAGTGGTGCCAGAGATCTCACTCCACGACAGGAACAGCATAGTAATAATTCATTGATAAAGTTTTACGTAAACAAACTCACAACAGGGACAGCGAAGTCATGACTCATTGATGAAATTCATTGATAAAATTTTACGTAAACAAACTCCACGAGAGGGACAGCGTAGTAATAATTCATTGATGAAATTCATTGATAAAATTTTACGTAAACAAACTCCACGACAGGGACAGCGTAGTAATAATTCATTGATGAAATTCATTGATAAAATTTTACGTAAACAAACTCCACGACAGGGACAGCGCAGTAATAATTCATTTATGAAATTGTACGTAAACAAACTCACAACAGGGACAGCGAAGTCATGACTCACAGATGAAATTCATTGATAAAATTTTACGTAAACAAACTCCACGACAGGGACAGCGTAGTAATAATTCATTGATGAAATTCATTGATGAAATTTTACGTAAACAAACTCCACGGCAGGGACAGCGTAGTAATAATTCATTGATGAAATTGTATGTAAACAAATTCAGTGCCTTGTAGGGTTACTCGGGGGTCACAGACAACACTTGATGGAGTATATTAGTGGCAACAGATGTTTTATATTATACGTATGTCTTAGTTGTTTGACATGTATGGCTGTTATGATCATCATCATTTGATATGGTATTCATGTGTTGGAAATCGGTGGTGACTTCCTTCTCCTTCCCCATCTCCTGCTTCCCCATTTCCTTCCCCATCTCCCTCATTTCCTTCCCCATCTCCCTCTCCCCCCATTTCCTTCCCCATCTCCTGCTTCCCTATTTCCTTCTTCCCCCATTCCCAACTCCCCTTCCTCCTTCCCCATTTCCTTCCCTCCCCCCCCCATCCCCAACCCCCCCACCTCCTCCTTCCAGTGGACAAGCCGCCGACCATCTTGTTCCGCAACGAGAAGGGCCCCATGGCACAGAGCAACGACGGGAAGCTGGTGGTCTACCCTGGCACTGTCCTCCATCTCGAGTGCCTCTTCACGCGCCGCCACGGAACGCCCAACTGGAACGTCTCCCTTGCTAGCGCGTAAGGACGGGGAGGAACAGATGGAGGAACAGGGAAGAGGGAGAGGTTTAGATAATGGAATGACGAGAGAGGGTGAAAAAAGAATAATGTGAAAATGATAATGAAATAATTAAATAATGATATAATGAGAGGGATCTAAAGAATTATGGGGGGGTACCGAGTAATTGGAGGAATTGGGAAGAATGGGGATTAAATAATAATATAATGAGAGGAATAAAGGATAATGGAGGAAAAATGTGTATTTATGTGTTATACAATCAACTCTTGTTGTCTTATTTTGTTTATTGTGTTATATTATTGTTTCGTTTTGTTTTTCTTACTACAGCTTTTTTTTGCATGTAATTGTCTTACGACCACAGTACTCAAAGTTAAAATTCATGACAATCCTCTTTTACATTTCTCTATTTATATCAACTTAAAAAATATATATCCTAAACCTTAATCTCACATTTCTAAACGTTTTTTTTTTCTTTCTTCTTCTTCTTCAAATCTTACTTTCTTTTCTAAACGTCTGTTATCTGCCTTAAACTTCCGGAAACTTCTCACAGCTTTTCGTCCGCATTCCAGAGGCGACGACATCAAGGGCAAACGCCGGAAGAAGACGAAGGCGAAGGGGCGCGCGAAAGGAGGCAAAAAGCGGGGAGGAAGCTTCGCGTAAGTGAGAGAGAGAGAGAGAGAGAGAGAGAGAGAGAGAGAGAGAGAGAGAGAGAGAGAGAGAGAGAGAGAGAGAGAGAGAGAGAGAGAGAGAGAGTGTGTGTACTTTAATAATTGTTAGTTTTGATCATCAGAAAATGAGAATCTATGTAGAAATTTCATTAGAAAGCTGTACAAGTTCTTCAGAAAAATATATATATATATAAATAAAAAATATATATATTACTAGTAATGCCTTTATATTATTTTTTCTGTAAAAAAAAATAGATAGTTATTTACATCAACGATAAGAATGGAACCCCATCCTTTTAAGTTTAAAGTCCCTTCCAAGGATTTATTTCAATGACGACGTTCGCGCCCTTCCCTCAGGCCTTATCCGAACGGCTGGGCGAACGCTCCCAACCGGAACATACAGCTGGAATACCGCCTCTCGATCTACCGGGCGCAGCCGAAGGACTCCGGATCCTACGCCTGTGTCACCCCCAAAGGACACAAGCACGTCGTTACCCTGGACATTCGCCGTAAGTTTTCGGACGTGGAGTGCGGTGTGTCAGGATCTCTTGGTGAAGGATGGTCCATTCAGTTTCGTTTTACCTTTTGGGATATCTAAATAGTTTGTTGTTGAGTACTTTATATCTATTGGAATTAGATTGCGTTTTAGTATGAATGTAAATGGGCTATAGTTATTGTCCGGACTCTGTTGTTCGTTTTACCGTAAGATACATTCACTTCCTAACGGGAAAAATCTTTTTTCTTTTTTTATATGAAGAGCCCTGCAATCTGACTTCCACTGCTGAAGGTTGCCTCGTTCTCCCCGACAGGTGTGCACTGCCCGAATATCAACGTGAACGAATCGGACAAGGTGATCTTCGAGCCCAACGAGACGAAGATGAACACAATCGTCAAGTTCTCCTGCGAAGTCGGATACTCTCTCGTCGGCGCGTCGGAAATCAAGTGTCTGCCGTCGGGTAACTGGTCGGCTCCTTTCCCGCGCTGCGAGGGTAAGTCGTGCCCAGGGAGACGCGCCGTTCAGTGTAGGAAGGTCATCACGAACGATTTGATGAAGGATTAAACTAGTTTCATTCTAGATTAAACGTGAAGCAGTCCCATGTGTGTAGTCTGTGTTCCCTTGCAAAGAGTAGCTCTTTGGTCTTTGTTGTAATCTGTTGTTTCAAGAAATAAGTAACTGCCATGACTATAATGAGAAGAATGTTAATCCAAAACATAAATGTTCAGAGTTTTATGCTAATCAGACATGACTGCACCGTAATTTCACCGTCACCAACAAGCATGCCCTTTTATACACTGTGCTGTCAGCTACTCCCTTTTAACATCATTAAAAAGGAAATTGCAGGGTTTAGGGAGATTAAAATGAAGAGGATGCCACTTGGAACTAGAATGCCATGACAGATTTGAACAAGAAAGGGGCAGGCGCCTCTGACTTCCGAGGCAAGATATCAGTAGAGTGGTCGTAACTCAGAAAGTTCATTTCCTTTTAAATGATATTTACTCTTTCCAATGCTATGAATCAATCTGATATTTTCCTGTGACTTTCATACCGCTAAATTGTTTAGATCTGCACTGGACTTGAAGAACCTTCTTTTAAGTTAATGTTTATGAATCTGTTGAGGGACCTCCTTCGTCTGAGCACCACTTGAATGGAGAGCACATGCAAGGGGAAGGCCTCGAAGCAGATCGGTCCATGCTCTGTCTGTCAGTGTGCGGCTTGAACCTTTGAGTTGCGTTGGATCCCCTTCACATTTCACGGCCGTACGTGAGCATGAGACCCCCCCCCCCACGTCTACCCTGCTTACCCAGGTTGCCCTTCCTCTGACCCCGCACTGGTATGCCCGATTCCCCCGTGATTCCCGGACTCGTGTTCCCACTGGTGTCATGGCGAGTGTTGCTGCGTGCTTGAGCCTCCTCTCGACGCCACCACCAACATGACACGGTGGGCGTGGCGGCGGGGACGGCTGAGGAACTCGTCCCCTTGGAGAGGGCTCAGTTGCTGACTGACCCGTTGGGAAAAGTGTGCATGACATAGCCGGCGTGGAGGCACTCGTGTCAAGCGCTTGTTTCCAACTTTGGTGTTTCCTCTTCAGCCTCCCTCCCACCCACCCCCTCCCCTTGTGTGTCGTATGCTTCCCTCCCTTCACACAGCGTCACGGGTGCTCCAGCACCTCGTCTAAAGCTTTCGTTTTTTAAATGCCCCTCTTTTTTGCTGCAGTTAAAATGCCACGGCCTAAGACCCCCCCCCCCCCTTTTTAGTGTTGGTATAGTTAACTCACCCTGATTGCCCCGTGTCTCGTCACTAGACATAGAGTGCCCGGACCCTCGCGAGAGCCCCACTGACCCACTCCTGCGGGTGACGGTCGTAGCGCGGGGCGTGGGCAGCCAAGTCCTGTACGACTGCCCCCGAGGACACCCCGTCAAGGGCCCTACCTCTGCCATCTGCCAGGAAAACGGACAGTGGTCTTCGCCTCCTCCCAGATGCAAGGGTACGGCGGGCGCAGTGTGTGGAGGGGGCGTGGGCGGGAGCTGAGAGGAGTGCGGGCGGGGAGGCTGGGACGTCTCGCTGTACGAATAGCTCTGAAGGGACACTTTCTTGACTACAGCGCTGTTGGAGGGAACAGCGCCAGTGCAAGCATTTTGTATAGAGACGGTTGTATTTTTTTAAAGTTAAAGTTTATTTTTTATCCTTTTTTTTTGCACTGAATAACGTTACTAATAGCACGGTTGTTCCAGCAGAGATCTGGTTGAAACTTGATTTACATTTGGTGGCTCTCGCATTTACACCTGTGTCTCTATCACATACGTGTTTATACTGATGTGACCATGAGTCCAAAATATCGTAAACAATATTTGTAAATTAAACTAGCCATTAATCTAATTCTCCTTTTCTACTAATTTCTTTGCAATATACGATTCACGTCACCTCATTTCCAAAGCATATTGAAAATATTGATAGGTAATATTATCATCAGGTGTGCAATTAAAAAATAGATAAATAAAAACAGGGTAATGTATCTACGTTATATATACTGTATGGTTTCGTTATTCTACTGTGTACATTTTCTAATGCAAGTCCCTTTTCAGAAAGACATGGATAGCGAAAATAACCACTGAGCCCTCTGAGACATTTTAATATTCACCACTGAAGAAATACTCATTAATATTAGAATATAATTATCTATCTATTTATCTATATTTTATTGCCTGTCTGTCTGCCTGTTTCTCTCTCTCTCGCTATTTATCTATCTATCTATCTATCTATATCTATCTATCTATCTATCTATCTATCTATCTATATATATATATATATATATATATATATATATATATATATATATATATATATATATATATATGGCTGTGTGTGTGTGTGTGTGTGTGTGTGTGTGTGTGTGTGTGTGTGTGTGTGTGTGTGTGTGTGTGTGTGTGTGTGTGTGTGTGTGTACACATATATATCTGTCTGATTATTATGATTATTATTATGATCATCATCATCAATATTATCATTATTATCATTATTATTATTACTATTATCGTTATTATTATTTTTATTATTATTATTATTGTTATTATTATTATCATCATCATCATCATCATTATCACCATCATCATTATTATTATTGTTGTTATTATTATTATTGTTATTATTATTATTATTATTATTATTATTATTATTATTATTATTATTATTATTATCATTATTATCATTATTATTATTATTATTATTATTATTATTATCATTATTATTGCTATTATTATTATCACTATTATTATTATCACCATCATTGTTATCATCATTATCATCATCGTTATTGTTATTAGTATTAGTTATTGTTATTGCTATTTTTATTACTATTATTATTATTATTATTATTATTATTATTGTTATTATTATTATTATTGTTATTATTATCATTATTATTATTATTGTTATCATCATTATTATTATTATCATCAGCATTATTATTATCATCATTATTTATTATTATTATTATTGATATCATTATTATTTTCGTGATTACCGTTATGTCATTATTATCACCACCATTATTTTTTTATTATTATTATTACTAGCAACAGCTAATAATAATAGTATTTTCATTGTTATTGTTATCATCACCATCATCATTATTGTTATTAGTATTATTATCATAATTATTAACATCATCATTATTATTGTTGTTGTTCGCAGTAGTACCGGTATTAGCATTGTCTTTTTCATCAACATCATTACCGTCATTGATAAAATATATAGTGCAATCACTATAAATCACAGTTTATTGTGACACGTTTATTTTATTTTTTATTTTTTTATATACATCACTTGCTCTGTGAAGATTTTCATTTTCTACACTGTCGCTATCATTATTAAGATTATTACTATCATCAAAGGATTAAGAATATTAATGCCATCATCATTATTTTTGACATTTCTGAAATCTAGTTATAAAATCAAATTCATATGAATGAGTCCAACTTCCCTGATAAATCTTTCCTCTTAAATAGTAAATGGTCAGAGTTCTCATCTTTGTCTTACGGAAAATAATATGATATTTTTTAGTTGTATAATTAACTTCCTTTAATGCGAAAGAATTGACGCTGAATTCACTCGTTATTGGAAAAGAAACGAGAGGGACCTTTTTAGAATTAGACAGTAGGTCAAGATTATTAGTGTCTCCTTTTCTTCTCCTTCTTCTTCACATGTCATTCTGCTTTGCCTTCCCTTTTCTTTCCTTTCTTTTCTTTTCCTTCCCTCTCCTTCTCTTCCCTTTCCTTCCCTTCTCTTCTCTTCTCTTTCTACCCCATCCCTTCCCTTCCCTTCCCTCTCCTTCCTTTCTCTTCCCTTCCCTCTCCTTCCCTTCTCTTCCCTCTCCTTCCCTTTCCTTCCCCTTCCATCCCTTCCCTTCCCTTCTCTTTTCTTCCCTTCCCTCTCCTTCGCTTCTTCCCTCCCCTCTCCTTCCCTTCTCTTCCCTCTTCTTCCCTTCTCTTCCCTTCCCTCCCCTTCCTCCCCTTCCCTCCCCTTCACTTCCCTCTCCTTCTCTTCTCTTCCCTTCCCTTTCTTCCCTTCCCCTTCCCTTCCATTCCCTTTTCTTCCCTTCCCCTTCCCTTCCCTTCCCTCTCCTTCCCTTCCATTCCCTTTTCTATCCTTCCCTTCCCTTCCCTCTCCTTCCCTTCCCCTTCCCTCCCCTCCTCTTCCCTTCCCACCCGATCCCTTCAGAACACTCCCTCCCTTGACGGCCTGTTGCGTTCTCCCCCCGCAGAAGACAACTGCATCCCCCCCGCCGCCCCCGCCAACGGTACCGTCACGGGCGAGGGTCCCTTCCACGCCGGGGACATGGTCGTCATCAAGTGCAACCCGAACTTCATGCTGGAGGGCCAGTCGCTGATCGTATGTCAGGAGGACGGGACGTGGTCGGAGGAAATTCCCAAGTGTGAGTGTAGTTCGAGGTGCTGCTTGAGGGCATGTTAAGTTTTTTTTTTTTTTTTTTTTTTTTGTGAAGGTGTGTGGCTCGTTTGTGTGTGTGTGTGGGGGGGGGGTGCGTGTGGG